ATAAAGCTAATAAAAAAAAAAAAAGAAGGAATTTTTTTTTTTTATTAGCTTTATAATACCTACGATTTACTACGCGTAACTCATCCAACTTGAGCTCAAATCGGACACAGTACATTTAATCCAGGAGCACACCCGCAATCCGGAGACACAGACTAAAACGTACGACACGATTTTCAATTCTTTGGCCATCAATCCAAATCCACTGCCCGCCTCTATTCAAACAAAAGGCAGCTATTAACCACACTGTCCACGGCTTGCGCTCACGGCGAGGCGCTGTGGCTCGCAGGGAGATTTGAATCCGATCTTCTGCTGATAGCTGATTGGCCTGCGTGCATGGTATGGGGGCATGCCAGCTGTATTGCCGCATAAGGCATACATTGTAGCTGTGTACCGGGTCAAAGGTTATCTCGCCGAGTGTTGCGTTGATGCCTAATCACCCTGCGAGCCACAGCGCCTCGCCGTGAGCGCAAGCCGTGGACAGTGTGGTTAATAGCTGCCTTTTGTTTGAATAGAGGCGGGCAGTGGATTTGGATTGATGGCCAAAGAATTGAAAATCGTGTCGTACGTTTTAGTCTGTATCTCCGGATTGCGGGTGTATACGAGGAAAGGATTTCGCACGATGGTAGGCGGATGTACTGTGTCCGATTTGAGCTCAAGTTGGATGAGTTACGCGTAGTAAATCGTAGGTATTATAAGGCTAGTAAATGACGAATTTCCCTTGTTTATTGATGTCACACTCCTTCCCTATTATCTACTCCTGATATAGATGCATATTTAAAGTGCATTAAAAATTGTTATAATTTACGCGTTGTTACTTTTGCAATACCACCCCGGTTCAACATTGTCAACTTGTAGCCAGCGTTTTGCATAACATTAATTTTATTGTATGTACAATTCTAGATGGTAAGAATAAACTGGTACTTATATTTTCATACAAATACAATTCTTTATTTCTTAATGGTTGGCTTATAGTAATGCTACCGCAATATACAGAGCAAATTCAACAATCAAGTTGATATAGTTGAACACGTCGGCAAATTATTGCATCTTACAATTCACTAACAATTCTAAAAACTGCTAGAATAAAATGTAAAGGAGGATTAATACTGCAGGTTTGATACACACATTCAGTTAAATCCGGTATAAACTGCTGTATACTCAAAATATCATAGTTCAATATGTTTACTAGATATTTTTTTAACTATTGATGTTTGCTTCTAACGCTGGTGGGGCCAGTGTTTGTTCCTCTGGCAATGTATCCAGTATATTCTACATGCCTAGTTTTCCGCAGCACGCTACAGACCTAGAGCAGTTCTTATTTATTACTGAGGGATTGCAACATCCTATATTTTACAATTACTTTCAGATGTGTTCACGATTAATTCAATTCACAATGATACATGTTTATCCAAAATGGAAATTTGAAATCAAATAAATGGTATTTGGGTAAAAATGCAATTTTACAGTTTTGTGATGAGATCCAGGAATGAAACATGCAAACTAAAAACTCAAAAGCATAGCTTTGTCAGAACAATTGTACGGTGTCCTGACAGAAACCACGTGCTATTATGTCCGATAACAGAAATACGCACACATACACTACCTTTTATGCAATAAGTATCATAACACACTCTCAAATTCCAAATTAATGCTCAGATTGCTCACCTCTAAAACTAATTGTATAAGTGGTAAATATGTACAGCACATAAAAGTGTGGTATTAAAGCTACTAATATTATGTCGCCACGAATGACATTGCATATAGAAACACGACGACCACAGAAGCATGACCTACACATAAAACTTCCATCAGAAATGACAACGTGACCACTACATGCACCACCATAACCACAAACAATGTCACACTTACATAGGCCACAATCACCACATCAACTCTGTTGGAAAGACTGCAATTTGATAAGAAAGGAAGAACACGCACAGACTTGTGGTATATGTAATGCCAAATTTTTAGTGTGTCGCTACGCACCACTTAAATACAATAACCTCTCAATGCAAGAGATATATCACGACCACTTATAGCAGCTAAAACACGTGGTAAATAAAAATTACATTGAAATCCACAAGTGTGTGGCTACAGGCTACTTCATCATCGCATCTCAATCTTTTGTGGACTGCCTACTTTAACTGGACTTTTAAAAAGTTGTCTAGTCGGAGCCAATTTCTGACTGGTCACTGGGAAGGTCGTCGGTGTGATGTTGCTAGTTTGTTTCTGAGGCGATTCAAAACAGCTTCGACAAACGGCCATGTACTTGTCCGCACCACCGATCACTTCCAGCTGAAATATACAAAAATCAATGGTAACAACTTGTAAGTTGTGATCACACATCCAGATCATGTCATTCATGGCATCACCACATCATTCACAAAATCATTCAGCCTAGTTTATAGCACAATTAACCATTGCAATACATGTTGGAATTTTTTTCTTATTATTCGTTTTTAATTGTAGACAAATCATTTTCACTAAAATTAAAACTTGTTTAATAAAATCGTAAATGGAATAGTTATGATCAAGAGTACATAATAGAGAAGAGTATGACACCATTTTAACAGCGTTTTGCATAGTTTTCAACTTGTAAATATTCTATCAATATGTGAATAAATATATTTAAACTTTACCTTGTTTTCGTCTATGATTCCCCCTTAATCATATGACACCACCAATTTACCTGAAAATCGTATGTGTTCTTCAAAAAAGTTCTTTGAATACGACACGGTTTCACAGTTTTCCCAAATGTTCGCATGTATTCGGCGCAAGTTTATTATCGGATTAGTGTTCTATTGTCTATGACGGACCGCTGGGGGCTGTTGGGGATATTAGGCATCAAATTGTATTCAGCGTGTAGCGTTTCCAGCATGCTAGAAATAAATGTGTGCTCACGGCGAGCTAGCAGCTGATTTTAGCCATGTTGCCATCGTGTTCCTGATGATAAGGCTTGCGAAACAAGTGCTGTTACTGTGCTTACCTAATATCCCCAACCGCCCCCCCCCTTCCCGTAGTTACAACCTGGTGCTGCCGCCGCATATCAACATGCGCCGAATACATGCAAACATTTGGGAAAACTGTATGAAACCATGTTGTATTTAAAGAACTTTTTTGAAGAACACATACGATTTTCAGGTAAATTGGTGGTGTCATATGATTAAGGGAGAATCATAGACGAAAACAAGGTAAAGTTTGAATATATTTATTCACATATTAATAGAATATTTACAAGTTGAAAACTATGCAAAACGCTGTTAAAACGGTGTCATACTCTTCTCTATTATGAGCTCTTGTTATGATACAACATATAACGTTTACATATTCTGCTAGAAGTATATATGAGCCAATATTTTTCTTGGGAAGGGTAGTGAGATCAATGTAATTTATGATTAATGGGGGCTGAGTGTACTTTAGGACCTCAGTAATAACGGGTTAGAGTTATAGTTAAAGGCAAGGGTGACGATGATGATGTCAATGTATGCACTGGAAAAGTAGACCTAAGCCAAGTACGTTAGGGTTAGGGTAAGAATGATGATGACCCAAACTAGACCTGAGATGAGTTTCCCACCGTGCATGTTAAATTATGAATGGTTGCCTTAGATACGTACAGCTGTCTCATGGCCCTTCCGCTTGGTGTATGACGCATCTCCGTAACACTTCATGCACACTGCCGTCAGCTTGTTCACACTCTCAGCAAGAGGCACGAGATTAAGGATATTTCCAAAGCCCTACAGAGATACAAATAGAAGGTCACAAAATAGATTGGAAGCCAACAAGTGTACAGACGTGCAGGCTTTTTTATGGCTATCTAACGGTAGACGAATCTAAATTTGTTACCTGTCGCTGAAATGTTCCGTCGAGAGCAGCGACTATAACAGTTTTGCCGCCATCTGCCATCATCTGGCTGAATTCCACGACATCTGGAAACTGGAAGGCAAATGTGACAACTGGTCACGTCCTGGACTGGTGGTGGTTATACGATACGATACGAACTGGTGTTCAACTTCACCACTAAGATGGAGTTAAACCTATCAACTTGAAAACAATCATATTTATCATAAATCAAGCATAAGGAGAATATAAGCATTGATACAGACACTTACAGTAAGATGAAATGGATGCAACACTAGTGGTAATTAATCCCTTCACAAAGTTTAAATAAGTGCAAACGTACTTGCATGACAAGAATACTTACAAATTGTCCCTCATCAATACCGATCACTTCAAATTCTGCAGTTACATCCTTCAGGGAAAACAGATTTATTGCTGAGACGGCGGGCATTTTTTGGCTGTTTAGTAAGAAAATAAACGTGTGATTACTTGAGCAACTGCACAACTGCTACACAGCTACACAACTGCTAGGGTTTTGCACTGATCGTCACGTTGTAAACAAAGTCAGGTTTGAAAATTCTGGGCTATTTGCTATCCCCTTTAAATCATGGAACAAATCAAAGAACTTCTTTTTTATCAATTAACAGCATATAGAGACAGAATGCTCGATTAACATAATTGTCTAAACATGAGTATTTTTCATTGTTATCCCACTGCTTAACCATACTTGAGACCAGTTCAAACCATCTTTAAAAAAGGATCTCCAATATCCAGAGCTCAAAAAACCCATATATAAAGTTCCCCCCACAAAAGAAATGATCAGAAATGATGTTTTAGAAAGGTTTGGTTTGAAAATTCTGGCTGTTTACCTCGTGTAGAAGACACATAACCTAGGTTACTTTCCCCTGTTTGAATGCATCTTAATTGTGTTCTAGCTCGCTCTCGCTCTCTCTCTCTCTCTGTCTCGCTCTATCTCTCTCTCTCTCTGTCTCGCTCTATCTCTCTCTCGTGTCTCGGCTCTATTCTCTCTCTCTCTCTGTCTCGCGGTCTATCTCTCTCTCTCTCTCTCTCTCTCTGTCTCGCTCTCTTCTTCTCCTTAGTATAATTGTTTAAATGTAATTAATATAATTTTTTCCACAAAGTGAAAATCGTATCAATTTGTCTATAACGACATATACTTACTTATCATGTGTTGCAGAGAAATTGTGTCATATCGGACATCATTAGCATATTTTGATAACGAGACATCTGTAGTTGGCATCTGGAAACGCTTCATGGCGGCTAATAACTCTGTTCTGCAATTTATTAAACAGTAGCTTATGTAATTACTCAGACAGATATAAACAGTTAGATATTACATTTAGATTCACACTGACAATGTTTCCTTGAATTTAAGCAATTGCATCAGTATAAATAGCATGTGAGAATGTAATTCAGTATATTATTTTCGATATTTATATAAATAAGTTCCACACTGATTTTGTTTACACTTTATATATAGTTAGATTGGCTGTATTGTAAGAATGTTGCTGCACATTTTAATGCAAAACTGTTATGTCTGCAAGCATACATCATTCAGTATGCACCACCGACACGTTGGCACGTTATATTTTATCTACAGCGAGCTAGATGTAATGCAGCAAAGTCAATGTGGCTTACGTTTTTTCCGAAAACATGGTCCAAATGATAATCTGGAAAAGTTGAAAAGATAAAATTGAGGAGCAGCCTTACATACAGTATGCGTACAGTTACATAAACAGTGATACATGAGGCTGCTCATGTGTGTGTGTGTGTGTGTGCGTGTGCGTGTATGTACGTGCGTGCGTGTGTGTGTGTGTGTGTGTGTGTGTGTGTTGTGTGGGCAAGCGTGCATGCATGTGTGTATGTATGTGCACGTGTGTGTCTGTGTGCGTGCGTGCGTGCGTGTGTCAATATCACCGAGTCACGCCGCACAGCCGGCTATAGCATATATCATTATATGCCACATGTAGGCTCTTTTTTAAATTGAGCAGTGAGGCAGCGAGTGACTATATATAGACCCTCTCAGCATTACTATTAGTATTACTATTAGCTCCTAAAAGTAAAAATTATATCATGATATGCTACTGCTAGTTGCTACACTGTACACAGACTGACAGAGTACAGTATTCAGTAACACTGTACTGTGTTACTGTGGTACAATGTATAGCCTATAGGTTACGGTAAGTATACTGAGTTACGAGTAGACACTGCATGCCGTCAGGTGTGTATGTTGCTACTGTCTATTCGCCCGACCGTCGGCAAATGCGTAAAATCTCGGAAGTGACTATTGGCCCGACGGTCGGGTGTATAAGAAACCGTTCTCTATAGACGCGACGGTCCATATATAGTTCCATTGTTATCATGTTATTGTTCGTTGCGTAGGCTCAGCGGTTATTAGATAATCTATTGAATATTGTTGAAAGGGTTAGGTAAGGTTAGGTTACTGGACGTAACGCGGCCATGATCCCGAGGCGCTAGCGCGAGGATTGACACTTTGTGTCTTCCAATCACAGTCCACCGCCGCCCCTTTATGATCAAAATTTGTGAGTACAATATCATTCGGACACGGAATCGCCGATCTCAGGAACTAGGGCATTCTGCTGGCTAGAACGGTTTCATACGATAGAGTTTGGCCCAAATACGAATATAACACGCTGTTTTGCGCACAGTGCTAAGTTCTTTCTTTCATTTTCGCATATCTGTAGGCACGATAAGCCCCGCGTTATTTGTTGATTGGCATGAATGGGGCGTCAACGACGTGAGCTGACTCCTGTACCTACTGCAAGCCCGTTGACTTTTCGTAAATAATGAAATGCCCGGCCGATGCATTTCGCATCAAAGAGAAGAAAATTCTGCATTTTCACTCGCTATCGCAAGTCAACGAGCGCGTCATTCAGTAAACATTTGTGTATTCCATAATTTCACTCTTGCTTCTATAGTATGATTTCCACAATTTTGCTCTTTGCCCATAATAATTGATACGATCACGCTATGTGATTAAGTTGTTTTAACGGCACAAGCTGTCTGCATAATGGCTTCGAGTCAGTAGGTCATTCGACAACAGCAGCAGGTGTGGCGTAACGGTTCTTTGTGCTGGCACTTGCTAGCAGCGCGAGCTACGCGTAGACGTTATGTGCAGCTCCAGCCTCGCTGGCTGTGATGCCGTGTTTAAGTTGTAACCTGTTGTTTGAGTTATTAAACCAGCATTAAACCTATACAATAAATGTTATAGTTCTTACGACGGAGACATAACAATAATGATTTTATTTAATAATAATTTCATAATAATTAATACATTTTTCAGTTCGGACTCGCTATCATAGGTTATAACCTCCTATATTAAATCCCCTAGGTATGAATATTTGGTGAATTTTTTTATTACTTGGTTGCCTATTAATCACCTCGATCCTTTCTTTGTTTGTGAATTTTATATATAAACTATTATATTTGTTTTGTTCATATATTAAATTCTAATCTTTTGATTCAGCTAATCTGGGCTAAACCGACCAGGCTCTCGATGCTTTACACGTCGTAGAACAGTAGCCAATGTAGTGTTAAGCGAGAGATGGAAACTTGTGGTAATCTCGAGCATGACTGGCGATTTTTTAATATTATATTTAT